TACTGCAACAAGCCCCTCCCCTACTGCAGCAGCCCCCTCCCCCTACTGCAACAGCCCCCCTCCCCCTACTGCAACAGCCCCCCTCCCCCTACTGCAACAGGCCCCCTCCCCCCACCCCAAGTAAATGGGAACTAGTGTCCCATCTGCTACCAACATCAAAGGGGCTGTTCCCACTGCAAGACACAGAGCACTGCACCCTAAAGTCCTCCTCACCAGATTCACTCTCTAAATCTCACCTTCCAGGTCTCTCATCACCCCCACATTCATTCCTCTGCCTACTGCTTTCTTATGAAAATCGATACCTGCCCTTCATAAAGTCAGTCCCATGTTCCGCCTGAGCTTCTCCATGTACATCTCCACTCCTTACCCCATCAACTGAACTGAGACTCAGTTCTGGAAAGGGTCCTGGGAGCCAAACAACAAAACCCTGAAGCTTCCAAGAAGGTAGAGACGGAGGGGAGTGGTGAGCACCGGGTTATGTGCAGGTGCAGCTGGTACAAGTTCAACTACACACCTGGGTGTAGGGACATCGAAACGGTGCCAGAGAAGGGCTGCCTGCTCGCCCAACAAATATAGACACCCCCCCCCAGACCTTCTCACAGCCTAAGCCCCTCCACTGTGGTTCTACTGTTTGAAGACACGTCGTTCGGTCAGCATCCTCTATAAACGTGAGACAGTTCCATCAGATGCTCACTGAAGAAAGAAAAACCCACAGGGTTGGACCCCCTGAGAGATAGATAGCATCAGTCCCCTACATGGCCCTTCCTCAGGGACTTTCAAGGGCAATTTTGTCGTCATGAGACTTTGGCTAACTTTATGTTCAGATTTTAGAAACTAACCCCGAAGGGAGAAGATAATGACATCTATGTAAATAAACTGAAGTTTCTGTTTGTCTATCACTACAAGACACAGAAACAGCCAGATGGGCTTTGGGGATTTGCGGGTATTTTTCAACTAAATTTGGAGAGTTCCGAATTGGGGCAGAGGCATCTCAGAGAGGTCATTACCCCCCAGAGCAGCAGAAGTCAGAACTATTAAGAGAAACATGGCATATGGACTGAAAAGCTACAGCCAAGATACGCCGCAGTGGCTTTCAATACAAAGCTCAAAGTCAAAGGTCTCAGGAGCTGGTGATCTGAGCCGCAGGTGTTAGTTTGCTCTCCGTAGTGATCACACAGCGACGTGCTCCAC